ATATCTCTTAACATCAATAAACTCAATTCCCCAATAAAAAGATGCAGACTATCAGACTGGATACACAAACAAGACCCAGAATTTTGCTGCATACAGGAAACGCACTTCAGTGACAAAGACAGATACTACCTCAGAATAAAAGGATGGAAAACAATTTTCCAAGCAAATGGCCCCAAGAAACAAGCTGGAGAAGCCATTCTAATATCAAATAAAATCGACTTTCATCCAAAATTAATCAAAAAAGATAAGGAAGGACACTTCATACTCATTAAAGGAAAAATCTACCAAGGTGAACTCTAAATTCTGAACATCTATGCTCCAAAAGCAAGGGCATCTACATACATAAAAGAAATTTTGATAAAGCTCAAAACACACATTACAACTCACACAATAATAGTGGGGGATTTCAACACCCGACTCTCAGCAATGGACAGATCATTGAAACAGAAACTAAACCGAGACACTTTGAAATTAACAGAAGTTATGAACCAAATGGATTTAACAGATATCTATAGAACATTTCATTCTAAAACAAAAGAATATACCTTTTTCTCAGCACCTCAAGGTACCTTCTCCAAAATAAACCATGTAATTCCAATGTCACAAAACAAGCCTCTGCAGATAAAAAAAGATTGAAATAATCCCTTTCATCTTATCAGATCACCATGGAGTAAGGCTGCTTTTTAATAATGACAAAACCAATGGAAAACCCACATGCACATAGAAACTGAACAACTCTCTACTCAATGATGACTTGGTCAAGGAAGAAATAAAGAACAAAATTAAAGACATTTTAGAATTTAATGCAAATAAGGACATATCATACAAAAACTTGTGGGACTCCATTAAGGCAATGCTAAAAGGAAAACACATAACTCTAAGTGCCTACAAAAAGAAACTGGAGAGAGCACACACTGACAACTTGACAGCACAACTAAAAGCTCTAGAACAAAAAGAAACAAATATACCCAAGAGGAGTAGAAGGCAGGAAATGATCAGACTCAGGGCTGAAATCAACCAAATATAAATGAAAAAAAAATACAAAATATCAAGAAAACCAGGAGCTGGTTCTTTGAGAAAATCAACAAGATAGATAAACCCTTAGCTACATTAAACAGAGGGCACAGAGACAGTATCCAAATTAATAAAATCAGAACTGAAAAGGGAGACATAACAACAGAAACTGAGGAAATTCAAAAAATCATCAGATCCTACTACAAAGGCCTATACTCAACAAAACTGGAAAACCAGGATGAAATGGCCAACTTCCTAGACAGATATCAGGTACCAAAGTTAAATCAGGAGCAGATAAACCATCTAAACACTCCCATAACCCCTGAGGAAATAGTAGCAGTCATTAAAAATATCCACACCAATAAAAGCCCAGGACCAGATGATTTTAGTGCAGAACTCTATCAGACCTTCAAGGAATATCTAATATCAATTCTCTTCAAATTATTCCACAAAATAGAAACAGAAGGGACACTACCCAATTCAATCTATGAAGCTACATTTAGACTCATACCCAAACCTCACAAAGACCCAACCAAGAAAGAAAACTTCAGACCAATCTCCCTTATGAACATCGATGCAAAAATATTCAATAAAATTCTAGCAAACAGTATCCAAGAACACATCAAAAAATTATCCATCAAGATCAAGTAGGTTTTATCCTAGGAATGCAGGGATGGTTCAATATTAGGAAATCCATCAATGTAATCCACTATATAAACAAATGCAAAGGAAAAAAAAAACACATGATCATCTCACTAGATGCTGAGAAAGCATTTGACAAAATTTACCATCCCTTCATGATAAAAGCATTGGAAAGATCAGGATTTCAAGGCCCATACCTAAACATAGTAAAAGCAATTTGTAGCAAACAAGTAGACAACATCAAGCTTAATGGAGAGAAACTTGAAGCAATCTCACTAAGATCAGGGACTAGACAAGGCTTCCCACTTTCCTCCTACCTATTCAACATAGTACTGGAAGTCCTAGCCAGAGCAAGTAGACAACAAAACAAAGTCAAAGGGATACAAATAGTAAAGGAAGAAGTCAAAATATCACTATTTTCAGATGATAAGATAGTATACTTAAGTGACCCCAAAACTTCTACCAGAGAACTACTAAACCTGATAAATAACTTCAGGAAATTTGCTGGTTATAAAATCAACTCAAACAAATCAGTAGCCTTCCTCTACATGAAAGATAAACAGACTGAAAAAGAAATTAGGGAAATGACACCCTTCACAATAGTTGCAAACAATAAAAAATACCTTGGTGTGAATCTAACAAAGCAAGTGAAAGACCTGTATAAGAAGAACTTCAAGTCCCTGAAGAAAGAAATCCAAGAAGATCTCAGAAGATGGAAAGGTCTCCCATTCTCATGGATTGGCAGGATTCATATAATAAAAATGGCCATCTTGCCAAAAGTAATCCATAGATTCAATGCAATCCCCATTAAAATCCCAACTCAGTTCTTCACACAGTTAGAAAAGGAAATTCTCAAAATCATGTGGAATAACAAAAAAAACTGGTTAGCAAAAACACTAATACAAGAACTTCTGTAGAAATCACCATCCCTGAACTCAAACTATACTACAGAGCAATAGTGATAAAAACTACATTGTATTGGGACAGAGACAGGCAGGAATATCAATGGAATAGAATTGAAAACCCAGCAATGAACCCATACTCCTATGGTCACTTGATCTTTGATAAAGGAGCTAAAACTGTGCAGTGGAGAAAGGACAGCATTTTCAACAAATGGTGGTGGTTCAACTGGAGGAGAACGTGTAGAAGAATGCAAATTGATCAATTCTTATTTCCTAGTACAAAGCTCAAGTCGAAGTGGATATACGACCTCCACATAAAACCAGATACACTGAAACTAATAGAGGAGAAGGTGGGAAAGATCCTCGAATACTTGGGCACAGGGGAAAAGTTCCTGAACAGAACACCAATGAAATATGCTATAAGATCAATAATTGACAAATGGGACTTCATCAAATTGCAAAGTTTCTGTAAGTAAAAGGACACTGTCAATAGGACATAATGACAACCAACACATTTGGAAAAGATCTTTACCAATCCTACACCTGACAGAAAGCTAATATCCAATATATACAAAGAACTCAAGAAATTAGACTCCAGACAACCAAGTAACCCTATTAAAAAAGGGGGTATAGAGCTTGACAAAGAATTTTCAACTGAGGAACCTTGAATGACCAAGAAGCACCTAAAGAAATATTCAGTATCCTTAGTCATCAGGGAAATTCAAATCAAACAACCCTGAGATTCCATCTTATACCAGTCAGAATGGCTAACATTAAAAACTCAGGTGATAGTAGATGCTGGCAAGGGTGTGGAGAAAGAGGAACACTCCTACATTGTTGGTGGGTCTGCAAGATGGTGCAACCACTTTGGAAATCAGTCTGGTGGTTCCTCAGAAAATTTTATATAGCTTTACCTAAGACTCCAGCTATACCACTCCTGGGCATATACCCAGAAGATGCTCTAACATACAACAAGGACATATGCTCAACTATGTTCATAGCAGCATTATTTATAATATCCAGAAGCTGGAAAGAACACAGATGTCCTTCACCTGAGGAATGGATACAAAACAATGTGGTATATTTTCACAATGGTGTATTACTCAGCTATTAAAAACAATGAAATCAAGAATTTCCTAGTTAAATGGATGGAACTAGAGAATATCATCCTGAGTGAGGTAAGCCAAGCACAAAAGATCACTCATGGTTTTCACTCACTGATTATTGGATATTATCCCAGACACTCACAATATCTAAGATTCAACTCACAGGCCACATGAAGCTTATGAGGAAGGAAGACCAAGTGGGGGTGCTTCAGTCCTTCTTAGAAGGAGCAACAAAATACTCAAGAGAGCAAATATGGAGACAAAGTGAGGGACAGAACCTGAAGGAGGGTCTGTCTGAAGATCACTCCACCTGAGTATCCATCCCATGTGTAGTCACCAAAGGTAGATGCTGATGTAGAAATCAGGAAGTGCATGCTGATAAAAGCCTGACATAGATATCTCCTCAGAGGTCTGCAGGAGCAACATATTCAGAGGCAGATGCTCACAGCTAGCCATTGAACTGACCATGGCATTCCCAATGGAGGAGTTAGAGTGAAGACTGTTGGAGCTCAAAGGGTTTGTGGCCCCATGAGGAGAGCAGCAGTACCAACCAACCAGAGCTCCCAGGGTCTAAACCACCAGCCTGGGAGAACTTAGGGAGGGACCAATGGCTTCAACTGTATATGTAAGGGTAGAGGGCCCTGCTGGGCATAGGTGGGAGAAGAGGTTCTTGGTCTCATGAATGCTGGATGCCCCAGGGCGTGGGCATTTGAGGGTTGAAGGTGGGAGTGGAGGGGTTCGTAGGGTATATCCACAGAGAAGCAGGATGACGAGGAGGGGACAGGGTGTTCCTGGGTGTTTGGGGGATGGGGTAAGGAGATAACACACAAAATGTAAATAAAACATACAATAAAATAGTTAAAAAATAACAACTAAAATTAGATTGCTTTCAGAAAATAAATACTGTGGCATGTTCATCCTTAAATGAGATATCTTTAATCTCCTCCCTACCCCAAGTATTGGGGAAAGATGTATAAGTAGAAGCAGAAACAAGAGGTTGAGAAGGACTGCTACAAATCAGTGTCTTCTGGACATGACACAGAACTGGAGCTCAAACTCATAGTAACTGTGGGTTCCTGCACAAGGATTTATTTCTTTACATTTAGTTTATTTTATAATTAATGGATATGTATGTGTGCATGATATGTACATGTATTTCAGGGGTACTTGTATACAACACTGAGTTTGTGACTCAGAGGTAAATCTGTGGAAGTTAGTTTCCTTTTCTTTGTGAATTCTAGTCATTTGAACACAAATTATTAGCCTTGTTTGGCCCATACACACTGAGCTATCCTGCCTGCATTTGTGAAAATCCCTTTTTGAAAATGAATATGACTTTGCCTCTAGAGGAGTTATAGGTGTGACTGCTATGTCACATTTGTGTTAGTAGGTGGCGAGAGGAGAGAGGCTATGGTCATACTCAGCGTTTTGACCTATGAACATCTGATTGATCAATAACCTAACATTCCCTGGGGAAAAAATAAAGCAAACCTGATACAACAAATCTGGGTCCCCAGGAGACAGCAAGCCAGATATAAGAAAAAACATGGCCTAGGATCATGGGTCCCAGTGGGGAGTAAAGCCAAGAGAAAAAAAAAAAAAACTAGGAAGGGGCCACTTAGGTAAGCAGGGTGAGGAGTGAGCCAGAGATGACCATGGTACTGGCACCATAAGGCCCAAACTGAGAGCTTGCTTGAAAAGACCACCAGTCAAGACACATGTAGGCCTAGGGGAGTAGACCCTGCCCAATATGATCATAGAACAGAACTCCTGAAACCACTTCTAAAATGAACCCATATTCTCACAGACCCTGAAAACCAATAAGAATAGCAAGTAAGTAGTGGAAAATAGAAGAGAAAGAGAAACTGAAGGATGTGAGCACAAAAAAGGGAGGTAGAACATGAGGCTTGTGTGTAGTGAGAATTATCCTAATGAGCATAGCCAGTGATACCCTTGAGACTATGGAAGGATCCTGACCTGTCCTTCCACTGAGAGCTGCAACTATGTCTGTAGCCCTATAGTAGGAGGAGTCTGTTACTACCAAAGGCCAAGCAGATGTCCCTGATCTAGGCTGCTGCCCAGGGACAAGTTGCTCTTAAATGGGCTGAGTAAAACTGGCTCCACCCCTCCCATAAGCATTGTCTGAGAGCTATCCCTGGAGGCATGGAAGCAGAAGAGCTGACCCTGTCCCTATGCATCTGCAGTATTCAGGAAAGGAGGCCCTAAACTTTGTAGAAGATGTAGATGAACTGATGATTTGACGGTGGGAGAGCTGGCCCTACCACTAGTCTCTTGTGGGTGGCACAGATGAGGAAGAGATAATCTCTTCCCCCGCCCTCTTTACACTCATTAATTGTGTCAATCAGGAGACATAGCTCTGGGGACAAGAAAGTAGGAAAATTGGTCCTGTACCTCACCAGCTGTAACACTAAGAAAAGTAAGCCCCATACCTCATCTAGGACACACAGTAGAGCTGATCTTGATAGCAGTGGTGCAGGTGAGCCAGCTCCAAAGCTTGGAGAGCTGGCCGCTAAAATTGTTTGGAGCAGCATAATCACAGAAGAGATATTCTCCATAACTCTCACCATTTGCCATCTGAAGTAGGAAGAAGAGCTAGCCTTGGTGTCATGAGAGATAGATTCTGACACATCCTCTATCCCTCCCTCATCCCCTGCCATCTATGGCATAAGGGAGAGCTTGACCCAGGCTCACTAGAGCAGGAAAACTGGTCCTGACCGTCACCAGCTGCAACACTTGGGGGTGCAGACCCTGAACCTTGCCTGGGCAGCAGGGTAAAGCTGTCCCAGAATCTTGCAAATGCATGTGAATTTGCCCCAAAGGCATGAGAGTTAATGAGCCACTAGACTGAACACATTAGATAACTCCCAGGCCCAGATCCAGAGCTTTGAATTGGCTTATTCCAATATCTACCCCATTAGAGAACTGTTGAAGTACATGAAGAAGACAGTTCTAGAGGTCAAAAACTACAGCATCTACATGACAGAAGCCAATATGAGGATACTTTAGAGGAGTCACTGGGAGGTTCCAGTGTTAATAGAGTAGCAGAAGCCAGAGAATTTTACCAGATGAAGGAGTCATTGCAATGAATAATTGCAAGGAACAAAAATATGTACAAAAAGGGTATAGTATGGCAAAAACTGTGGCAAGCTACAGCTCTCCAAGTGAGAAAATTTTTGTCAATTCCAGGGATGGTTTCAAGAGTGGAGGGTGGGTATAAAAGGATAAGGAAATGAGTGGCATTGGACTGCATTTTTTGAACTTCACAAAGAACCAATAAAAAGTTAAGAAAAGTAAATTAACATGACATAAAAACTTGAAATAATCACCAACAGAAACACACAGAGCAAATCTAAGTTCATAATTTTTCAGAAACAGAAAATAATGTCAAAGGGAAAACTGATTTCATATAATATAAAGTATACTAAATATCTCAATATTTGTTAATATATAGGTTCTTTTTAATTATTAAATTCTTCATAAAATGTAATTAATTAAGAAAACACATTATTAAGATTACCAATTTGGGGATAAAAATTAAGACAGTGTATATATACTTTTGAAGTGTTTGGTAAAATATTTCCAAAATATCAAGCTAATAAATGTTTTAGGATATTTGGTCATACTGTGAACCCTGAGATTTTGCTATTTACTGGAAAAACCTGTTTGAAGTTGTAATATGGCTGAACCCTAGCTCACACCTCTAATTTAAGAACTCTCTGTTTTAGATAAACAGGATTAAATAAACTCCACAATAGGTCTAGAAGCAGAGTAGACAACAAGTTGACAGGGAATGAACATAGGAAAACCCCACAGAGTAAGAAGGAATCAGGAGGACAGACATCAAGATACACAGGAAGTAGGAAGGGAAGACCTTCAACTTTGAAGGTTTTTGAGACAGCAAGTACATGTAGAATCTCATTTTCCTTTTGGGACACTGGTTGAGAAGGAAAGTCAGGTAGTGCTTTCTCTGTCTCTTTGAGCTAGTAGATTTTCACCCCAGCATCTATCTCCTGAATCAGTATTAGCAAAATTTGAACATGTGCAATTTTGTTAAAAAACAGGATTTTGTCCTCCAACATGCAGCACAATCACAGGGACAGAGAAATCATACCATTGACAGACAAACTAAGAAGACATCACATTTCGAAAGTCACCTGCTACGTTCTCAAGGAGAGAGTTAAGAATGAAAAAATCATAATACATGGTTCTAAGACCCTGTATAGTGCTACTTTAGCTTGAAAATAAAAGCAGAAATTGAAAAGAGAAATGACTTAACTGAAATTGGCTCAATATGTACTATGATTATTATCATTTTGTTATTTTTCCTTGACAACCACAGTGTCTTTCTGTAACCTCTCAAATAAAAACAAATAAAGCTTTAGAGATACAGGAAAAAATATTAAAAAAATAGATTATTAAGACACAAGTGTTAGAAAGACTTATAAATGAAAATAAGGAAAATGCTCAGAAACAGAAGTATTTAAACAAGAATCTACAGTTCCACTGCATAATGAAACTAAAGAGCAGCGGCCCAAACAATACAAATGCTGAACTCAGTTAAGCAAGAGTAGTTTATTGAACATATAGCCCAAGACTGAATGTTAAGAAATACAAAAAAGGATCATCAATAATTGGTTCATTGAATGGGAATAACCCTTACCCTCAAGCATACCTCAGTTACTGCTAGTAAGCACCACCAAGCCAGCTCCCTCCACTATGAGATAAGTTTCCAGTACCTGGTCAGTTCTTTTTCTTGATTTGTTATTGTTTCTGGTTTGATCTAGATTTTTGGAGAGCCAAAAAAGGAGAGCTGGAGAATGTAAATCTCTGAGAGTTGAGAGGAGGTGAGGATACATCCTGTTTGCTGTCTGGTTCTCACTAGGTTAATGCCTGGTTCTGGTTCTGGGTTCCTTTGGTGGGACATCTTGTTTTCTTCCTTTTCCTACCATCACTCCATGATGTATGTCTGTCAGTTTGTGTCTCTAGTTTTGTTCCGCTGCTTGATTGTTGTTCTGTGTTTCATATTCAGAGAAAAAAATGGTTTAAACTATTTGTGATAGCTGTTCACTCTTTAATTTAGTTTTAATTTATTTCAAGGAATTTTAGAAAATAACATCAGAATTGGAAAACCAAAAAGTGATAAACTGATGCAGCTTTTGGAACCCTGCACTTGCAGCTAGGAGTCTAGTGTGGCTGGAGAAGCTCTGCCTCCTGCCTGGATCAAACTGGCAGCAAGCTAGTGGCAGCAGCAACTTTTCAGCTTCTTTGGTAAAAAGCTGATGCCAATACAAAAACTCTGTGCTTATGAGAATTGGATTCAACAGGTAGCAAGTTGATCCTACCTTGTCTGTATAAATGTATGTGGCCACTACTACTTTATTTCTGACTGAACTTACATGTGTTGTTCTGCATATCTTGAATATAAAACATTGTTTTATAATTTATGCAGTATAGTTAAAAATCTATATCATTGGTAAAAGAAAGTTGGCTTAAAAATAAATAACTCAAGGTAAAAGCCATTCTGGACATTGGCACATGGCATGAGCCAACACAGAGAAACAGGTCTGTAAAGATACTTTTAAATTGGAATAATATTTTTATATAATTCCTCTCCTAGAAAAAAGACTTTAAAAGATAGGATTTAAAAATATTTCTTTAATGAGGTATTAAAGCTGTACCTTCATACATTCATATATAAGAATTTTTCTTGCTGGCAGTCAAACTTTGTAGCATGACACTGAATAGTTTAGACTGCTAAAAATGTGGTTTTGTATTCTAATAATTATGGTTATGCTCTATACTGTCTCTCTGAAGAATATACTTTATTTTTTTACTTTATTTTGATATTGCAAAGGGAACTTTTAAAAAGTATAGTTAAATGTATAAAGCTATGGGATATTTTTAAATTTCTTGAATGTTTTTTAGGGGTGTCTTTGTTGATATATGATAGATACAATGAAGGAGAAAGATTTATGGGACAAAAGAAATCATGTTTTAAACTCATGTGTGGGAGACAATTATGATAAGGGCTCAGGCAATGCCTATTATAGTGACTATGGATCAGATGATGGAGATAATAAATATCATAACAGAAGGTTGTTTAGCAAATAGTTATTGATTAGTGCAATATTATGTCAATTAGATATATATTTTTTCAGTTTTTATCGGTGTTCTCTTTCTCCTTTTCTTTTTGTTAGGGCAGCTATAGATTGGTCTGTAAATTATGGTAAAGATACCAAGAATAAAAATTAACAAATTTTTAATTTAAAAAAAGGCTTACAACATTAGAAATAGTAAGAATCACAGACTCTTGAAATCTAAACCCATTTGTTTCAATTTACCTGAGCTGGAGCAAGGTTCTAGCAAGCTCAAGGAGTAGGTAAAAGCTCTTGCAGCCAAGATGGCTTCCATTTCCCCCAACTTTTTAAACTTTCCTTGTCCTGATA